TCAGAGATTGAAACGTCCAGTGATCTCGAACATCTGACCATCACCTACTACAAAATGGCGACTCGATCATGTAGGTATCCGAGCCCACAGCGGGTATCGGCGTTTTGGTGGTCCCGTGATGGTGGAAGCGGGAATGCACCAATCCAGTCAGATGCAACGAGCCTCGAGTCCTGTGCCATGTTGCATGGAGTCAGTCACCCTTCTAGAGCTGTGAGTTGTGTGCGAGGTCACCTGCCCTGCCCTTTTCAGGGGGCGATCATTGATTTCATACCATAGGTACATCCAGAAGCAGGCTGCATGTATGCGGTTTGATCACTAAATGAAGATCGCGTCAGGATATCCGATGGAGGGTTATTTTGGATCGCGGGAGCTTGGTTCTGTGGTACATGGGTGATTGCAAATTGCTCTATGTACGTCGCCTCCTCGTACCAGGGAACATGCAGCACTGCTGCTTCCCAACGTCAGAAGGAAGACACGTCATATCTCGACTATGGACGTGTGGTGTGGATGCGAGGGTATCGACCTCCATGCTTACTTCCGTTCAATAACAAGCATATCCAGAGTCTAGCATCTCAATATTGGAACTGACTTAATCAACAAGAAACATCTCAACGGTGGACACCCGCTGGACATACGTCCATCTGCTCTCCAACCAAGCGGGATCTCGGCAAAGCGTCAACGCTGTGCGCGCTTGAATTCCAAATCAGTTCCGATATGCCGCGTAACTCGACATCAGTCGAATACACAGATCTTTTTTCTAGAGAAACAAAAATGTACATCATCGTCATGATCATCATCCTCGGTAGCGCCAAGATTAAGCAATATCACTACTCTCGCTCTCACTAATAACAAAATAAGATTAGCACATCGCTCATTCCCGCTTCTCAATCAACCTTACACTTACTCTACTCAAATCATACCCAGGATATTGGTGGCGTTTCTGCGGCCACGCATACGATAACTTTCCAAGATCAAGCTGGATTAATTGTATGAGTGCAAAAAATGCGGGTGTGACTGTGACGGTACGGCGGGCTGATGCAGGGACTGTGTGACCGGTCGACCGTACGCAGTCAGGAGCGGAGGGAAGGCCACGGAATTGGGATGGTGTGTATGTATGGCTGGTCGGTCATAGGTTTATTACGTGTGTTGTGTACAGTAAATGACTCGGCTTGCTGGTGAAGACGGAGTTGTACTTGTTATACCCGTGTTGGTTGGAGGGGGTTTTGGTAGTGTGGAAGATTGGGGACGAGTGAGAAGGCCAGGTCATTATGTTGATGTAGGGAAGGTTGATAGGAATGTATCGTGTACAGGGAATATGTTGATGTAGGAAAGACTGCTAACTTTAGGCCTAATTTTGGTATGCTATGACTATGTCGCTATGAAATGATCGCTATATGATACGCTCAGAATATATTGCCAACTCCATACGCCGAACAGACTCAATGCTTTTTGTGCATAGCAAGCATGAAAGTGATGCCGAACCACTCATTCAGAAGCCGATTCCTCAGCATCAGATTGCTCCACTTCAGCATCGCTCACCAAATCGCTGAGCTCACTACTCTCAGCTTCACTCTCTCCACTACTCTGAGCATCACTTTCATAATCCTCAACAGCCTTCTTCCTCCCCTTAGCCTTCACTTTATTTCCACTACCCACCTTCCTCGGACTACCACCCCCTTCCTTCCTACCCCCAGACCTCTTCACCAGATGTTCAATCGGACATCCCTTCTCCCATCCTTCACTGCTCTCTCCCGTAATCGCCCGACATCTTGGACACGACTTGCCGTGCTTGATCAACAGCTGATGCAATGGGTACTTTAGGTCATCCGGGACTCTAACCTCGCAATGCGCGTACGTCGAGTTGCGCGTTGGGCCCGCGAATGTACCTTTTGCGCCGGGTGCGAGTCCTGCTGGATCACCTGGTGCGGGAACCCAGCCTAGCCATTTACATAGGCGGAAGACGTGCGTGTCGACTGCGAAGGAAGGGCGTTGAAGACAGAAGAGGAGGACGCAAGAGGCTGTTTTAGGGCCGATGCCGGGGTATTTTGTTAGAGCGTTGAAGGCGTCATCGTTGGAAAGGAGATGAAGGTGATCTAGTGAAACGATATCTTGCTCTGCTTTCTGAATCTCAGCATTCTTCTCCTCAACAGCTTCTTTTGCGGACCCCGGTGCCTGATCTGACGATGAGAGATGCGCGTCTCGTCGCGCTTGGTTTTCCTCCCACACCATTTGCAGAATCTTCTTGATGTCTTTGCTCTTGACGTCTGCTAGTCCACCGCTCTTGATAGCTTCGAAAATTTCTTTCGTATCGGCTTGTCGCACTTTGTTCCAGTCAACACTGCCTTTGCCGATGCCTTCTTTCAGAATGCCAAACTTTGCTACTAGGCCTGCAAATGCGCGGGAGGAGTTGGTGCCGGACGTTGCGGCTGATAGGCGGGTGCGAATTAAGGCATCGAGGACAGAGGGTACTTCTCCGCACCCAGAAACTTCGAGAGAAGGTGTAGGGATCGTCTTCGGGACCTGGACCTTGCCGTGCACTTTTGATAGAAGGCGAGTGACTTCCTCACATTCTTCAGCCGTGGGATGAGGATAGTTTGGATATGGAGTTTGACCAGGAGTGAGGCCATAGTTGCCATTCTTTGCCTTTCCTTTCGTTTTGGGCGTCGAGTCCGTGGTTGTGATAGCTTTTGCAACGAGATCATCGACTTCTTTCTTCGCTTTGGTGGACTTTATAGCCTTCTTCACACTCTTTGGCTTCTTCGCCGACAACGTAGCATCGTCTAATTCCTGTTTGGATGGCACTTGAGAAATGGCTCCTAGATTATGAGGCAATTCGTTGACATCTTCCTCTTTCACTGCACTCTTCTTAGCTCTCTTGGTACTCCTTGGAGTAACTGGGGTTTTCGACAATGATGTTGTTTCGGGCGATTCTTCAACCTTGACTGCCTTTCTTTTCCGTGCATTGCGCGGGTCTGGCGTTGTTGGGGGACTTGACAGCTGAAGTGACTTCCCAGTAGCGACAGTTGGTGCTATAGCTCCAGTTTTCACAGCAGAACTTCTTGTGGCTCTAGCCATAATGGTATAGCTCAGGATATGAGGCTGGTGAAAGGAGACGCGTGATAAACCTCTAAAGAGGCGTGTTGCTGTAAACACCTTGCACAGGTTGTTACATGCAATGATTGCTGAGATTGAATGAGAATGCTTGAGGTGAGTGAATGGGCCAATGAAGCTTGGGATCTAAGCCATCAGCAAAAAGATGAGATGATTGAAGTAAGACAGAAAAGGGACGTGAATGGTTAAGGGTCATGACGTCGATGACGGTGATTGGAGCTTGGACCCTGGCTCATGCAGGAACATCTTAGCGCGAAGATGCGCCGAGGTGTGGAGACAGGCCTCCCCGCCACGCCAGACTTGTCATGCCTTCCTAGCATCTATCAATACTTTATCCTATACATATTGCACTCTCCTTCCACATCAACATGGCTGGGAAAACGCCGATGGTCGTGCCTGCCTTGAAGCGACACACTGCTACCGTTATAGTTGCTCATGGGCTTGGGGACAGCGGGGCTGGTTGGTACGGCTGCCGTTATGTGACAAGGAGCGACACTGATAGACGTGTAGGCTATTTCTAGCGGAGAATTGGCGGCGTCGAAGCAAGTTTGAAGAAGTGGCCTTCATATTTCCCAATGCCCCCAATATTCCCATCACCTTGGTACGTGCAAAAGATCTTGGACTCGTAGACCTGCAGCATGGTTGCTAATATTTACTAGAATATGGGCATGCGCATGCCAGGCTGGTATGACATCAAGTCCCTCAGTACGCTCGATGACCGCGAAGAGGACGAAAAGGGCATCCTAGCCTCGCGCGACTATTTCCACTCCCTGATCGATCAAGAGGTTGCTAAAGGCATACCTGCGAACCGCGTTGTCATCGGTGGCTTTTCACAAGGAGGCGCTATTTCGTTGCTCTCCGGTGTCACATACAAGAACCAGCTAGGTGGCGTCTTCGGACTCAGCTGCTACCTGCTTCTGCAGAAGAAGATCAAGGACATGATTCCAACGGAGAACCCGAACCAGAACACCCCTATTTTCATGGGACATGGAGATGCCGACCAAGTAGTTGCGCACAAATGGGGCAAGCTGAGCGCTGATGAGCTCGTAAAGCATGGATACAAGGTGGATTTCAGGACCTACAAGTATGGCCATCGAACTATGGGAAAGAACATTCTAACCGGACATGCAGGAACCTACAACACTCGGCCGACCCTGACGAGATTGATCACCTCGAAGCATACCTCGACCAGCAGATACCCCCACTTGGCGACATCAAGCAAGAGACGAACCTCTGACTCGCCCACTCTATACCCTCCTTTGCATCGAAAGAAGCAATGACTGCCGTAGTTTTACTCCTCACATTAGCCATTGCTTGGCTAGTATGGTACAAAAAGCGAGATGCCGGGCTACGGCAGGAGGCCGCGGATGAGAAATGATACCAGTCGTCTGAAAGCTTTCCTACCTAGAGCGGGACACAGTGACGTATAAGACGTGCTATTTGGAGCAGCGATGTCCAATGTAGCTACCATTCATTCATTGGGTTACTGAAAGTATTGTTGCAGATGTAATCACCGGCTGGTGAGCCAACATCCTGTACACTGTCGGTGTCTTGGCGTCGAACTCGCGGATACACTAATTTATAGAGCAGCTTGCACTAGAAATTCGTATCCTACAGACTAGTAAGTCTTATTAAAAAATAATCTTACCATCAATGCTTCATTCGCTGATAATTCATTCCCTGCGATTGGTGAGCTTTCGTCCATGGTAAAATTTTGTTTGAAATTTTCGTCTGACTAGACCACCCATGGATCCACTTCATCACCGCTTCTACACCCCCCTTACAAACAATCCTCCCTTTGCCCCAAGATGCACAATATATATGTCGCCGTCTCACAACCTTCTCTTATATATAATTTGCAACTCGCCGTTCTTTCATCCAATCAGATATCCGATATGGTCTAGTGGCTAGGATTTGCCGCTCTCATCGAGAGTATACTCACAAGTGCCGGCAAGGCCCGGGTTCGATTCCCGGTGTCGGAAAGCTTTATTTTTACTGTTTTTGCCCTCCTGGGGAGAGTGTGTTGGGGCTCAGTTGGGCAGTGTGGTGATTTTTGGCTGGTCACGTGATTGCCCGAGCAGATCACGTCGAAACTGTTAGCAGCAAAGAAGCGAAGTAACCGAGCCTTGTACCATTGAAGTCTCACAGGCATAATCCATCATTATTAGCCTACGGATCAAAGAAAACATCCCTTTCATCCTTCCACCAAGCCTTACCTTTGTGCTCGTCCATGCGCTTCATGAAACCCAGCACATCCATCCTCCCCAACGGACTCAAGAAACACCCTCTTGCCGTCCACTCGCTCAGAAACTGCCGATACGCCTGATACCCAGGTGGAAAGATGGGATTCCCCAAACGCGCACTCTCATCTTCCACCACAACAGGCTTAACAGCCTCGTTCCCCACCCTAACCATATGCTCCACCAACTCCTTCGTATTGAAAGTCCTCCTCCTCTCCATTGACACGCGCTTCAACTCCCCATTCAGACACTCCTCCAACGCCACCGCCTCCCGCGACCCCACGGGGTTATCAAGACTAAACCCATACGGCAACTCCCCCCAAATCTTCTTCGACACCTCCATGAACTTCACAGCATGCTCGTACCTCACATACACCCTGATATCATTCGCCTGGCGGTCCTGATCCCAGGACTCGGGAATCTCGCGGAACCAGGGGGGGTCGTCGTGGGGCAGGGTTTGCAGGCGAGTCAGCCAGTTGTCTTTCATTTCGCGCTCCATGCGGCGCATCGTGATTTTCCAGCGCCACCAGGGGAGTTCGTCGGCGCGGATGATGGTTGCGCGGTCGGTGGTGAGTGGGTTGATGTCTTTGCAGAGGGGGCAGCGGAAGAACTTTGTGTTTGGGTCCGTTTCGTGGGGGTGGATGGTTCCTCTTCCTATTGTGGGACCTCGCTATTAGTCTATAAGGGCAGAATGATGGGGTTGGCCATTTGGAGGAGATGTACATACCGCTACTGCTGTCGATGTGCCATGTGAGGCATTCTAGGCATACGAAGTGCTTGCATTTCAATTGGCATGCGTATTCGCTTTCTGTGAACCAATCACGGCCGCATACGAGACAGCTGTCGCCTAGGAACTCTGCTTGTTTTGAAGGTGGTGGTTTGCGGTAGAGGGTGACGTGTGCTTCAATGTCTGGACGAGGGTACCTTTGCCGGAAGTATCAGCAGTCAGCGATACCACACGCAGGAAGCGACACATCGTGATACTAACCATTCTATCAACGGCGGAGGTATGTTCAACTTGTTATCGATATTTTCTCGAGCATGGAAGAAAGCTCTATCGTAGCTAGCTTGATACAGGCTCTAAAGGCCCATGATATTAGTTCTGAGCATCCCTGACGACCCTCTATACAAATGTATGACTTACATGCAGCCGTGTCCACCATGAATCATGCTCATGCCCTTTCATCGTCGGTGGCTGCATGCTCCTCCACTTATCACACTCAATCCTATACTCTTCTTCCTCCCTCCCAAACTTACCCACATCGCTACCACCAAGCGGTATCACAGTCGTCCTCTTGACCACATACACAAGTGGGGCTCCCTTCTTCAACGCAAACTTCCCGCTTTCAAGCACAGTGTTGCCCGCATACCTCGTCACTCTCACCATCGCCCTACCAAGAGGATTCTTGCTCTTCAAGTCTTTGCTTACCTCGGTGGTACTCCATTGCGTGAACTGCGCATTCGTTGGCGCAGGGTTGAGGGCTTTGCTGATGGTGAGGAATGTGTGACCGTCTTCGCCCCAGGAGTTAGCACCTTGTGGTCGAGAGCGCTTCTTGGAGTTCGCAGGGGGCTGGAGGCGGAGGCAGGCTTTTGGGTAGCCGCATAGTGATGGGTAGATGTAGCGGGTTATGTGATTTGGTTTTAGGACGGAGGCACCGCCGCGAAAGAAGAGCTCTGATCCTTGGGGATCGGGCTGCTTGGGATTAGATTTCTTAGGATCAGGTTTCTTGACATCGACTTTTTTGGGTTTGGGGGTTGCTTTCTTTGCCATATTTGAGGATTGCGTGTACGTTGTTTTGCGTTCGTTACGTAGGTAAGGAAGAAGACTCGTTGTCTGATATTTTGACCCTTGATGTGTGACGAGTACTTACCAATAGGAAAAACATCACAATTCAATGAAGTGGCAATGCACACGTACTGACTTCCGCATACTCAGGGTGTAGCATTTGCTGATATTGAATTTAATGCATGGCCTTTTTCTCCCGTTTTCTCGACAACGGTGTTGCTATGATCCTTCGCAGGTCATTGTCTAATTTTCGGTATTAACCTTGTCCTCTAGCTCCAGACCAATCATCTGAAATCCCGTCTCTTCAACTCCTCCTCTTCACAGCCTCAACCTAAACCATGGTCGACTGTACCTTTTAAGTACACTTGCCCCACTTAGACTGGCACCAGTTGGCCGCACCGCAGAAGTCAGTCCCAGTTCCACAGAAGTTGCTTCCAGAGCAGCACAGTCCAGTCTTGCACTTCTTGTTCACAATGGGGCCGCACGACTCTCCGTCAGCAGACTCGCCGGGTGCTTGAGTAGGCTCCGGGGGCGCGGTCTCAGAGTCGCACTTGCCGTAACCAGCCTGGCATCCATCGCCACAGTAGAGAGATTGGTCCTGGATGTCGTTCTTGGGGCCGCAGTGGCCGCCGGAGGAGCAGCAGCGGTAGACTAGGAGACACATTGTTAATTTATGGTTCACTTGCTTCTAGTGTTAGGGGTTACGTACAGTAGCCGTTGGTACCGGCTCCAGGGCAGGTCACGCCGCCTTGGGCATGGCCACAGACATCGATGACGGGGACGCTGGAGGGGAAGGTAGTGGCTGGGGAGGTAGCCTGCTTGGTCACGCTGGTCTTCAGGGTCGTGGTGGTGGGTTTGCAGCTAGAGCCGGAGCCGGAGAAGGGGTGTAGGCAGGTTGCAGCATCGCAATGGTCCTTCGTGGTACCGCACTGAAGAGGAAGTTAGTATATGATGATGGCTCGTTGTTGAAGAATGTTCGTGGCGAACAGGTATGCAAGAGGTTCAACGTACCCATCCGTACTGGCTGCCTGGAGGAAGTATTAGCATTATGAAGTTTTGATTAACTGGTTAAACACTTACAGCATTCACTCGAGTTGGCGCAGACCTGATTGTTCCACTGGGGTCCGCAGTTCTCGCTGCCAGCGAGCACCACAGACACGAACGACAGAATAGCGAAAGTTGAGACACGCATTATGACTAGGATTAATTTTCGTAGTAGAGCGAATGACAGCTGATAATAATGAATGAAGCGTAGGTGTAGTACCAAGAAAATGGACAGAGAACCTTGGGTCTGAAAACGAAAGTGAGTCTCAGCGAGGATCCGAAGCAACCCAGCTCATTTAGTACTCCCCCATATTAATAGCTGATGCCCGTATTGCCCCACTGTCTGGGCCAAACCTAAACATCGTGGGCCCAATCACGACCATAACGAGCATAGCCTCGCAAAGTCGCTACCGTACTCCTGAGGCTGAACATTTGGCCGGCGCTACAGCGCGCGATCGACGAGGTGCGATGCTTGTCAGGGAGAAGCTTGTTCCTCGCGACAGGGATCATGAGTCTCTGAGAAGAATGTTATTTGGCCGGAGCCTCGTGTTTCGGCATAACCTCACCGGACCATCGGCATGCTGGGCACATTTGCAAGGGAGATTTCCAGGCTACGCAGTCAAACACCTCGTGAAGCGACACATTCCTGAGGCCGTGCATACGAACGCAGGAGGAGGTGCAAGTTGGGCTTACTGTGCAATTTGCACCCTGACGGACTGTTAGGATCGAAGTCGAGCTTCGAATAAAGTTTCAACAGGTAGATGTCGGTCTTGCTTGAGGCGAAATGGACCAAACCATCGATCGTCGCGCGCAATGAAAAACATCGAAGCTCGAGCTCGGCAACTGTGAGCTGACAACGGCCGAAATAAGCAAACGCCAAGCGCGTAACTAGCGGGGCCTGACCCCTGCATCTTCCCCTTTACGACGGAGCAAAGCTTTGAGGCGTTAGTCTAAAAAACGTGGAGCAGTACGTAAATATACAGGCTAGACTTGACCTAGATCAAGCTCCTTTACTATGGAGCGTGCAGACCGGATGATTTGCAATGATCCTTAGAACAAAGTTACAGGAGCCGTTAGAACCGTGAATGTGCTCTTCGGTGCCACCAGAAGTAGCGATGATGGTATTACATATAATTACAGATAGTTGTGTTGGAACACATGGTAGCTACATGTGTGTAAATGCTAGCAGTACAGGGTATCTTTGATAGTAATATGACAACCTCCTTGAGCCTCGGTATAGGTGAATAGATCTTACTGGTATCTTCTCAGAAGTGAAATTTGTGGTAGATGTACATAGTATGTGATAGGTATTTTGGAAATGTGGCGAAATAGTCGTGCGTGTTATATGGAGTCGACCTGTCAGGATTACAGCGTGTCCATATTGATGGAGAAATCCGCGCGTCGATGTGAAAGACTACGCCGAGCCGTATTGATACAGTAGTCGTCCTCCAGGATTCGTACAACAATGTCGTCATCGCGATGTTCAAATGTGCCTCGAGAATCGAATCTTAGTAATAGCTCAACCCCGAAGCTCTAACCTTCTTCTTTCCCTTCCCTTTATTCTTCTTCGTGGTTGGTGTCGGACTCGTGTTTGCCCTTTCCTTTCCTGCTAATCTTTCCCGCCTCTTATCCTCTTCATTACTTCCCATCATCTTACTTGCTCCTCCCGTCATGAAGTCGCCGTACACACCTTCTGTGTATACACCGGGCGTTGCCGGCTGGCTAGTCGAAGGCATATGTAGCCAGTCACCACCCTCTTCCCAACCCTCGCCAGCAGCATTAGCAGCTCTAACGTCATCGATATAGGCCTCCATTCTGGTTCGCTCATTATCATCTTCCAGACCGCAGCCGCAGCCGCAGCCGACTACACATTCGCCATTGTCCATGCCTGGCTCGTCGTCCATGCAGTCAA